ATTTGTAATACAGATGGCAGAAAATAGTTTTACCGTAGCATATAGTGTAGCTTACGTGATTCCTTATAAAAATCTCCTTTTGCTCAGCTGCGCATGCGATCTTAACAGATGTCTGTGATTGTTGTTTAATGCTGCAAAAACACGCTGTAAAAAGAAATGTAAAAAAAAATCTGTTTTAATATAGAACTTTATTCAAGTTATAAAGTTCTATATATAATTAATATAGAACTTCTATTTAAGTTATAATACAGGCCGTTATCAGTGTTGGGGAGTAGCTAGCTACAAGTAGCGACGCTACTAACGCAACTACATTTTTCAGTAGCTTTACAGTAGCGACGCTACTTTTAAAACAGTGTAGCTCTTCCTGTAGCTAACTACTTTTTCCAGCAAGTAGCGATGTAGCGTGACCAAACACTACATTCCGTTTTGCGTTCTGACGAGTCACGAGTCTGTAATGCATTGAAGCAGCGCAAGCCGTGTCTTCTTCTGACTAGATCACAAACTAAATTTGATCATTACCGCCATCTGTTGTGATATCACGCATTGCGCGGCTTTACAGTCTTTCCACCGACAAGAGATCATCTGATGATATTGCAAATTATGTACAGGAGTGGATATTTCACATGAATCAACTGTAATTTACGCAAAACAAAGATTAAAATGCGGTCTACGTCGAAGACTTAAAGCACATACAGGAGGTGAATAATAGCCTTTTTAAACTGATTAATTTTTCTTCTTTATTGCACTCTAGATCAAATGTCTATTTTACAATGATGAACGGTCATAATATAATCTGTGCCCCACAGTTTTGTTATGAACACTAATCAAACAGAAAATAAAATCGTGATACAGTAGTGTGCTTATCATTTGGCAAAGGATGGTTGCGGCGGGATTCACGCAAAGCACAGTGTTCACGCGCGCAGCTGATGATTGACGTCTCCATTCAAACTCAGTAAATACTGAGTGTGTAAAGTTTAACCAGCTTATTTTATGACTCCTCCGTATCCAGTTTAAGTTGCATACATTTTGTTCTTGCATTAATGTTACGTTAGTAGCAATTTTGCACTTTGACAGTCAGTTTAAGATAATATAACTATACAGTAGCCTATTTTATTATTGTGTGTATCGGATAGTTTACAAAATCAAATGATTGGGACACTTTTTGTCATTGAAATGGCTTGGAAAATTGTCCCAATCAACCTGAATTCACCCTATTCTTTGAAATCATGATTGCATTACATTATGTTGTTTTAAACCCCAAATATTTTACTTATAACTTTATTATATTTTACTTATAACTTCTTTAATAATTATTTAGTTATTTGTAATGTTAATTGTAAAAAAAATTATAATAATAAAAAAACTTTTTCAGAAGGGTAGCTTGAATGTAGCTTAACTACTTTAATTTATGAGTAGCTTGTAGCTGGTCACGTTGCAATGCAATGCATAGACTTTTTCCTCCACTTTATTTCAGGAAAACATGCGATTCCTTGTTATTTTAAATTAAAGAAATCAAGATCTTCTCTGAGACCCGATATTCTTCAAAATAGCATTTATGTTCAGCAGAAGAAAGAAACTCATTCAGGTTTAAAACAACTTTTGAGTGAGTAAATGACGGTATAAAAATAAAGCACTATGACAGAATTGACAGACAGATGACATAATTTTTATCTTTGAGTGAACTATTCCTTTAATGTTAATAAAACAACAAAATGCAGAGAAAAATCACTCACTACTCTTGTCTTGACTGAAAAACTTTAATACTGTTGCTTAATAGGAATCAAACTATATAGTGTTTTATTCTTGTATTTGTTCATTCAATTTCTTGAATGCTCCTGCTAAATACACCTATTGTACCTGAAAATAGAACACTGTTTGTTTTATTTGTATATTATGTGTAGTTGTAATGTGTATCTTTGTTCTTATTTTTAATAACAAAAATAAAATAATTGTAAAGATTTTTATTTTTGCCCACTTTGGCCTAAATATTCGCCATTTTTGTAAAAATATTTTGTTACCTTGAAAGGCTTTGTCTTTATAATAGGGAAATTCACTTGCAAAAACTTGCAAAATAGTAAAACCAACATGACAACAAAGAATTGTGATAAAATTGTATTTGTGTATACACACAAAAATATGTCAAAATGACCAGTTTGGCGAGTATTCACCTAAGCACTTAGCACAGTCTTAAATGCACATAAACAGTAGGGAGAAATTTGGCTAAGGTGTGTTTGTATTGTTTGTATAGTGGATCCGTGCATTAATTCTTAAAGTAACAACAGCCTAATAAAAACAAAAGAAAAAGGGGAAAATCACTCACTGCTTTTGACTAAATAATTTTAGTAGCTTTAATAAGCAAAAATCTATCAATTTATACAGTGAAAACTATTCAGTGTTATTTCACATATGATTAACCTTAATCATATTTCACATATAATTACCTTTGGTATTAAAACCAAAGGGAAAGTGACTTTTTCAAGGAAAAATAACAACACATTTTCAGTGTTTTCTTTCATAAAATTCACTGAAAAAATCCCCATGTTTAAAGAACAAATTCTGGCCCTTCAGCATTTTAAGCAGCAAATGGGGTCTTTAGATTGTTGTTCTCTAATCAAGAATTCAAATAATATTTAATGGTTTTAAAGTGTGTCTAATTTGATCCAAGGATTGCAGGTGGTTGCTGTTTCTTTGGTCAGTGGGTGGGTTAATCTGCTAATACTTTCCAGTTAGTGATACTGAATGCTGTTTGAATCCAGCGCTGCTGTTACAAAGCAGGAAGCAGCCCGTTTTGGGTAATACAAAAGGTAAATGTCTCATTTAAATCCATGTTTCATGTGTTCATAAGAATGGGGTTTACTGGAAGAGGCTGGAATTGCATGTACATTCCTTTTGGCTGTGTGATAATGATAGAATGGGTACTAATTATTTGGAGAAACTGTAGTTTTGTAGCTGAACAAATCGCATGCAACACATTTATTTGTTGATCATTTCATTAATTTTGCTAATAGAAAAGGTTTGTTTATACTGAGGTGTTTTTGGTGAAAAAAGGAAAGGAAAATGCACACAGACAATAGTTTCTGTATTATGAGACTATTATTTTCTGTATTATTCTCTAATTATTAGACTGAACATCACATCCATTGTATGACAGAATTGCCTGAAGCCTGTAAACTAAGTTGAATAGTAGCTCTGATACACTCAAAAAAAATGCTGGGTTGTTTCAACCCAACTTTGGGTCAAATATGGACCAACCCAACTTTTGGGTTAAAAATTTTATGTAAAAAATTAACCCAACGGTTGGGTTAGTCCATATTTGACCCAAAGTTGGGTTGAAACATCCCAGCATTTTTTAGAGTGTAGGTTTGAAAGTGTACTTAATGCCACTGAAAAACGTTTGCAGTGCTTCTGTAAATTTAAAATATTTACTCAAGTGACTCCTCTTGAAAATATATTATTAGATGAAGTGTATTAATTGCTATCGATTATGATTACAATACATGCTTTTTTTTGCTTTTGGTCATCAACAGCTCTGTTAAGGATTATTGCATGGCACCAATAGTTCTTTATTAACATCGATTTGTATTTCATATTGAATAAATTCCAAAAAAGACATAAGAATAAGAGGAAATTATGTCCATACTACAAGTGCACCAGTCTCAAAAGTGTTGAAGAGTTTCAATATGATTATTTTTAGATGCAATTACCCGCTACTCATCTTTAATTTGACTGAAGTGCTCGCACAAATGACATTATTTAATTGGTCTGGCACAGCAGGTAAATCAATTATTCTATATCATAACAGCAGAATTCAAATTAAGGGCTCCCACTATATCAAATTACATTTTTTTAAATGAATTAAGCTATATATTTATGTTCAAATCATTTTTTTTTTAAATAATTTTTTTAAATCTTATAATCAAAATCAGGCAATAGCAGATTTTGGGGTTTTAATTTTTTGTGACTGATAACAATGGTAAACATTTATCTACACATAAACAAACATACGACAGTGTTCTGCAAATTTTAGCTGCGGGACTTGCCATCTAATGTCCATGTATATCTTTTGAGGGTCACACCAATCAGTGCAGACTGACACCTGGGCCCCAGGGCCCTTTATCGCATCTGTTTGAGGGTTTATCTGATAACATTCTTCAAACACCTTTGAAGTCTGTGAAGCCTCTGGACTGTGGGTCCCTTCATCTCTCTGTTGGAGACTCTGATTCTCAAAGCTGTCAAATAAAGGTCGAAATCAGCCCAAGGACGTGACTCTAACAGAGAAGAGTACACAAGAAGGGCTATCCCTCCTCCTTCTGGAGTCAATTCAGTTCCTAGGGGAGAGTAGCAAAGAGTAATTAAGCTAGATTTGCTGCTATCTGTGTTTTAGAACTACAGGACTGCTGAGATTAAGATTTTTTTTATTATTACGTTCAGCATAGTCGTCTCCTCGCATTCATTTCTAGAGTTTATTAAACAGGACAATGGGAAAATTTTAATCAAACCACAAAAAGATCATTGGCTGGTACTTGGGTTCTTAAGGAACACTGCATTATTAAATACACTGCCACTCTCTAAATCCCAGCCAAATTAAAATGTGAAGACATATTGCTTATCTTGAAGGAAAATTACTAGAGTTAGTGGCATATCACTCTCTCTTTCACATATTGTTGTGTACAAAATAGATTGAAATGCCACTAACACTAAACTTTAGTACCATAATCTTTCTTTCTTTCTTTCTTTCTTCTACTAAATTGTATGAACATTTAAATACAGTTTATTCATTTATTTATTTGACATTTATTTGTAATTGTTTGGAAAATTTTTCTTTGGCCTATGATGAGGGGAAGGCTGTGGCACAGTTGTCAGCTGTCTCTCTATTTAAATGCCTGAAAATTCTGTAATTGAATTCTATGCGACTGCCAGATGTCGAGTGCATACTTGTGTGCACTGGCAAATATGTCTTTTTTTATAAACAGCTGCTCAACAATTTGTCTTTTTTTCAGGTGTGCAGAGGCAAGTTGTGCACTGTGTGGAGAGAACATCTGGAATCGTCGAGGAACATTACTGTGATCCATCTACTAGGCCGGATGACAAGCAAAGTAACTGTAATAAGGGGGCATGTCCTGCCATGTGAGTTTTACTGCTGGACAGTCCTATACTTTACACACCCATCAGCAGCAGTGCACTAGATGGCTTTTAAAGGCAATCATCAGTGCAGTAAGAGTGCAGTAAATTCCTGTGATGTTTTTGTGTCATCAGATGGTGGGTTGGAGAGTGGCAGAAGTGCTCATCTAGCTGTGGGGACATTGGGCTTAGTAAGAGAACAGTGCTGTGTATTCGGAGCCTTGGGCTGGATGAGCAACGAGCGCTTCAGCCAGCTGAATGTCAACATTTGCCTAAGCCTGAGTCAATTGTTCGGTGTAACACACATGTGTCCTGTCCTGCTGACTGGACCATTGGAAGCTGGTCAGAGGTGAGCATATATCAGCCACAAGGAACATCTCTTGCAGTTCAAATAGTGACCAGATTATTTACATTTACATTTAGTCATTTAGCAGACGCTTTTATCCAAAGTGACTTACAAATGAGGACAATGGAAGCAATCAAATTCAACAAAAGAGCAATAATATACAAGTGCTATAACAAGTCTCAGTTAGCTTAACGCAGTGCACATAGCAAGGGTTTTTTAAATAATATAATAAATAAAAAGAAAACAGATAGAATAGAAAAAGAATAGAGCAAGCTAGTGTTAAGACAATGACTCTATATGATTATGATTCATATTTTTATAAAGCATACAGAATGTTATGTGAAGAAAGGTTTTACTGTGCAGCCTTCGCATTTTAGCAGAACTAACAAAACATAGCATAGTATTATCATAGTTACCGGACATATATTAACATCAGTGTACTATGGCCATGAACATGAAAATCCTTCAGTTCCATGATATATGTAATTGCACCAATGTATTACCTGCTATTATAGTCTTAAAAAAAGTAAAATTACCATGTCACTTATGTAAAGTGCATTTTATTTCAGTCTAATCAAAAATCATGGTTTTTGGTTTAAGCACCTCATAGAAAAAATGAAAAGAAACAATTTTGTTTATATAGTATTTTGACTTGATGTGTTGGTGTGCAGAAAACTGAAAAAAATATTATAGGTTTTATTAATTATTCAATTTTCTTTAGTATATAGCAGAAAATGTGCATATCATATCACAACACAGTAAACAATAAAACCCATTTAAAGTTGTATTCAATTATAGTAAGTCAGCTACTTTAAACTTTGACTAACAATGTTTTTAGTTTTATCTTAAATTATCATAGCCACATAACATAGCTTTTGTTTATGGTGAAATTAAATGGTAAAAAAGCACATATATAGCACATAGTATAGACAAACACCGAACAAAGGAACGGACAACACTATAAATACAAGACTAAACGAGGGTAGATGACGAGACACACCTGAACCGAATGAACACAATCAACAAGGGAGAAAACTAGGTCACAGAGCACATGGGGAGTAAAACACACACATACTCAAACAGTCCAGGGGTGTGACAATATGTATGTGTGCTGTGTATATTTATTATGTATATATAAATACACACACATGCATGTATATATTTCAGAAAATATAAACTTTATGTAACATTGAAATATGGAACTGTATTGATTACAGTATTGATTATTGTATGGTCTTTATATTAAATCAGCTTTATTTAGTTTTTTTCTGTCAGAAAATAAATATTTTAGATTAATATTAAATCAAAATCAAGGTTTTAATGAAACCATACATATAATTTGAGTGGGGGGAAAAAGATCAAATTACAAATGTTTTAATTTATCCAAAGTATTTTTTCAACATACATGCTATTGTACCACTACAGTACATTATTTGAACAGAGAAAACATTCATCTTTACATTAATTCTGTCAATACTACAAACACTAAACATACTTGATGATTATTCCTTGCTTTCTCATAAAACAAACTTCAGATTTTGCTTTATTGGACAACAATATGTAAAACTGTTTTGATGACTCATTGTTATACAAAACAGTCTCATTTTATTTTTAAATCATTGTGAGACAATTTTCTGACTTTGACAGCTCTTACGCACTGCTTCTTCCACAGTGTTCAGTGAGCTGTGCAGCTGGTTTCCAGATACGTGACGTGACCTGCAGCTGGAATACTGGTATGGACTGTGATCCGAAAGCCAAGCCTAATTCAACTATGCCATGCTATCTTCAGGACTGCCCCATAAATTCGGACACCTTTGGCAATGACTGGTCAGGAAGTGGAGCATCTAGCAAAGAAGTTTTCAATGAGATAAAAGTTATACCCCACTTTAGTACTACTAAAAATCAGCCCAGGGGCAATGCTGACCTCAATGACATTATAGAAGATGATTTCTCACATTATAGTCATGTTGAAAAGTCCTCTGACAATTCTATTGGGAAAAATCTTCAAGTTGATGATTTTTATTACGACTACAATTTTATAAGATTCCATGAGGATCTGTCGTATGACTTTGATAAAGATGAAAATGATATGTTTGATAACTCAGGAATAAAATATGGAGACATTACTCTGACAGGGACAGATGTCCCTATGACTACCTCATCACCATCCACCACTACGGACCAACACAGTACCACCATGCGCTCTGACAGCATTACAATCAAGGGTACTGAAGGTCATGAACCTCAAAAGAAAGACGTACTAGATGAAAATAATGATGAGCTATTTGCTGAGGATTACTTCCTGCCTGTCATTACAACAACTGAACCATCCTCTGCAGTTACCAGGTTATTTAGCAAATGGAAGGACAATGATAGTGACTTCACTATTACAAGGAAACATCCATCAACTGCAGATGTCTCCACTCAGGACAAGCAGACATTATCATATGAAACTGAGCCAAACATCTTTTTGACTCCTGAACCACATACAAATTCAAACTCAAATAACCATGACAATTACAAAGGCAATCAAAAAGATAAAACCATAATGGCAATAACTGAAGATGAGAATGAAGAGGAGTTTGGCGAAGATGTTCCTGGAGGTGAAAGTGAACCACACCATGGCACTCAAAATAATGAACCTCCTTTAGATTATGCGTTTAAGTTTGAAACTTATGAGAACAGACATGTTCATATTCCTACTACTTCTTTACAATGGCGTACGGCCTCACCAACAGTCTCACTGAGTGCAACTTCTCAACCATTGGAGCTTCTCAGCAGTGCTTCCAGTGATGACTTTGCAAAATTTAAAGTTCTGACGGAACCATCATTTAACACTAAGGAGAGTGAATTCACTGTAAGAGAGTTCACTACGACCTCAGATAGCCTTTCTCAAGAGTATGTTCCTTCTCCAACTTCCTCTGTCCCAGCCAAACATTACAGTAGCATGACCTCAGCAGCTGGAACAACAGCTCTACCTCCTACAGAAATGGAAAGTGATTTTGAGCCCCCACTCTTCACTCCAAGTGATATTCCGGACACTACAATTGCTACAGAGACTCAAAGTTGGTATTCCAGAGCCATTGCACCACCCAAAACTAATGGGCCTAAAATAGAGCCTTGGGGAACTCCGGTCCCCTTACCTCGCTGGACAGAGATTGACAACAATGAGATTATTATTGCCCGAATGCTGAGACCTGCTGGGCTTAATCCCTCTCTGTCTACTCCTACTGAGCTGCCATCTCAGGGCACTAGCAGTGAGCATTCAGTGCATTCTTCTAGCCCTCCGATGCCCACTGGGCTGGTCATGCCTTCTCTTTCCCCATCAGCCTCTCCTGCACACTGGAAAAAAGGCAACTGGAGTGCTGTGAGTAGTTAATTATGCATTCCTCACATTCTCTAGATACGAAATCAGCATGGGCTGAGAAACAGCAGTCAGCCACAAAGATAAAAGTCCTTGAATTATGCTGACACCACAGCATTAGATTTCAACAGAAACATTTAACTTTCAGGTAATGAAATTTGTTTCATGTTATTCTAGCAACAAAAATGGATATGAGGGAACGCATGGCACCACTATCCCTCCTTAAATCTGACTGTGTATGAGTGTGCACACATACAAAAGGTTTTATAACCTGAATATCGAAAATGGGAAATGTTAAGTTTATAAGAATGTTGTTGGAGCCCACAACCTCTAACTTGTAACCTAACTCTAAAATTTGAATAGTTAATGAGAATGTTTATCCAGGAACATGTCCTACTTGAATAAATTTCTTTAAGCAGGGTTTGCATGCATTTTTCAATGTGAACAGTTTTTTATCCTGCAAATGATTTTATAGTGCTCAACAAGTTGCGGGCTTGGTGCCATCTGGAGGTCAGTGTCCTGCAGCACTGGTGATGGATCAGACTGTGACTTAGCTACTAGGCCAGTGCCAGCACGCCGCTGCTACCTTCGTCCCTGCTCTGCATGGAAAATTGGAGAGTGGAGTAAAGTAAGTCTGCATGCATGCAGCCAAACATTAATTCAATTCATTTCCAATGAATGAAAACACAATGGGAGTTGCCACTTCTGATATCTCTTTTGGCAGTGCTCGGAGAATTGTGGTGTAGGAGTGAAGGTCAGAGAGATTCAGTGTTATGACACACGAGATCAAAGGTTGCTGCGGCCATTTCATTGCCAGGCCATCTCCCCCAGACCTCCTGTCCGAATTCCTTGTAACATCCACAACTGTTTAGAGTGGTACACATCTTCTTGGGGGCAGGTAAAGAGATTTAGCATTCAGAAGCTTCACTTTTCTCTCCTCAGCTCTTTGTGCCTGTTTCTTGATCTTCACGCTACTCTCTTCATCTCTATGTGTCTGATTCTAACATCATATATGCCCACAGTGTTCAGAGCTGTGTGGAGGTGGGGAGCAGCAGAGGCTGGTCACCTGCCCTGAAACTGGGAAATGTGATGATAACCTAAAGCCCAGCAACATCCAGACTTGCAATGTCCATCCATGCCACCAGTGGATTACTGGATCCTGGGGTCAGGTGAGTGACATAAAACTTGAGGAAATGTTTGATTAGATTTTTTAAGTCAGCCAGCTTAACAATGTGTCTCTGCACTAGATACAAAACGTCTCGGTTACGTATGTAACCCACGTTCCCTGAAGGAGGGAACGGAGACGTTATGTCAGCAGTGACTGACGAATTGGGATCTCGCCAGAGAGCCCAATCACCTTAGAATGTTAACAAAACAAGCCAATGAATGTTTGCGGTGCGAGATTTGCATCGCGCACCCCTCCCCGCAGCGCGGGTATATAAGGAGAGCACATGCAGTCGCACATTCAGTTTTTCGCTGAGGAGCCGAGATGGTGTGCCTCAGCCATACAGTGGTGGTACAGCAACTGTGGTGACAGGATGTAACGTCTCCCTTCCCTCCTTCAGGGAACGAGGGTTACATACGTAACCTAGACGTTCCCTTTCAGTCAGTCACATTCGACATTACGTCAGCAGTGACTGATGAATTGGGATCCCTATGAAAACGCCACCTTTGCTGACCCCCTCCAGTGCCCTGCAAAAGCCAGCAAGTCCCCCCACACCAGTTGGGGTGGAAGATAGGACAGGGCAGTGGCGTAGATTACGCGGGGGATGCAGGGGATGTGCCCCCCCCCCACACACACTTTTAATATCACGTAAATTCATCCCCCGCACTTTTTCGGGCAAGTGAGTTCGCATAGAGGTTTTCAAAAGTCGGTGTGAATAAATATAGATTTAAATTCAAAGAGACAGGATAGTCTGTGTATGATCTGATGTTTTATTAGTACCCAGAATAAGGCAAGATGAACATCGCGGAGTGCAAAACACTCCATGCAGTGTGTGTTTCATTCATACTTGAAGCCGGAGGGCGCTCTAGCGCAGAAAGTTGTACGAGGAAATTCCTAATATGGACAAAAGCATCAAGCTATCGCTGTATAAAAACAGTTGTTTTCACAGAAAAACAGAAACGTTTGGAAACATGAAGACATTAAACATACGATTGCGACAATATATGGTTTATTTGTGTTTTTCAAGTCATCTCCAGCAGGTAATAAATAAAGTATATGAACAATGCAGTGCTAATTGACAGCATTTATTACAGTAGGCTATAGAAACTATTCTGCCTTATTATGTGATAAAAAAAGTGTTTGTAGTATATAAACAAATCATTATTATTGGTTATTGTCCAGCAGTTATAGATTTCTAAGCCAATTAAAAGCTAGAGATTAGAGAAAAATGTAAGTTGCCTATACACTACCAGTCAAAAGTTTTTGAACAGTATGATTGTTAATGTTTTTTAAAGAAGTCTCTTCTGTTCACCAAGCCTGCATTTATTTGATCCAAAGTACAGCAAAACAGTAAAATTTTGAAATATTTTTACTAGGCTATTTCAAATAACTATTTTCTATTTGAATATATTTTAAAATGTAATTTATTGTGATTTCAAAGCGAGATCAATACGCAGCAGAGACAGCAGGGAAATCTCTGCCAGGGAAAGACATGGGCTCACCATGAGGGAATCACTACACACGGGCACCTAGTCCAGCAAAAGGGTTGACCTTGGGCATTCACCCGAGTGCTGGACCTGGCTCCGCCACGCCTGACCGCCGAGGGTGAGGGAGGAACTTCAACAGGGTTCACCAAAAGGGAAACTGAACTGAGAAGCACTTAAGCGCACATATCCGGTCCGTAGAGGGGAATGGCGCGGCAAGCATGATCGACACCGAGCGGGTCCGGTGTTACTGACCATCTGAGGCAAGTACACGAGAGGACACAGGCTCTACACGGAGATTATAGAATCTTGCAAACGTGTTAGGCGTCGCCCAGCCGGCAGCTCTACAGATGTCTGCTATCGAGGCGCCCCGCGCCAATGCCCAAGAAGATGCCACTCCTCTCGTAGAGTGTGCTCTCACTCCCACGAGTGCTGAGCCTGGCGTCTGGTGCTCCGCCACGCCTGACCACCGAGGGTGCGGGAGGAACTTCAACAGGGTTCACCAAAAGGGAAACTGAACTGAGAAGCACTTAAGCGCACATATCCGGTCCGTAGAGGGGAATGGCGCGGCAAGCATGATCGACACCGAGCGGGTCCGGTGTTACTGACCATCTGAGGCAAGTACACGAGAGGACACAGGCTCTACACGGAGACTACAGAATCTCACAAATGTGTTAGGTGTCGCCCAGCCGGCAGCTCTACATATGTCTGCTATCGAGGTGCCCCGCACCAATGCCCAAGAACATGCCACGCCTCTCGTAGAGTGTGCTCTCACTCCGAGGGGGCACGGTAAATGTCAGGCCTGGTATGCTAAGACTATAGCTTCCACTTTCCAGTGGGCAAGCCTTTGTTTGGAGACAGCCTTTCCCTTCTGCTGTTCTCCAAAGCAGACAAAGAGCTGGTCTGAGGTCCTGAAGCTCTGCGTACGGTCCATGTAAATGCGCAAAGCGCGAACGAGACAGAGCAGAGCAATGGCTGAGTCTGCCTCCTCCTGGGGCAGTGCTTGCAAGTCCACCACCTGATCCCTGAAAGGCGTGGTGGGAACTTTGGGCACATACGAGGTGCCCCGCACCAATGCCCAAGAACATGCCACGCCTCTCGTAGAGTGTGCTCTCACTCCGAGGGGGCACGGTAAATGTCAGGCCTGGTATGCTAAGACTATAGCTTCCACTTTCCAGTGGGCAAGCCTTTGTTTGGAGACAGCCTTTCCCTTCTGCTGTTCTCCAAAGCAGACAAAGAGCTGGTCTGAGGTCCTGAAGCTCTGCGTACGGTCCATGTAAATGCGCAAAGCGCGAACGAGACAGAGCAGAGCAATGGCTGAGTCTGCCTCCTCCTGGGGCAGTGCTTGCAAGTCCACCACCTGATCCCTGAAAGGCGTGGTGGTAACTTTAGGCACATATCCGGGCCGGGGTCTTAGGACAACGTGAGAGTCGGTCGGTCCGAATTTCAGGCACGTATCGTCGACCGAACATGCCTGCAGGTCCCCCACCCTCATGACCGAAGCCAGTGCAGTGAGGAGCACTGTCTTTAGCGACAGAAACTTAAGCTCTACTGACTGCAGGGGTTCGAAGGGCTCCTCCTTCAAGCGATGGTGTTTACTACCGCTGGAGGTAGACCACCTAGAACCTCTGCATCCCATCCAGAGACCACACGTGGAGATTCCACAGGTCTGGGTGCGGGTGCCAGAGAGTGCCCCCTCTCTGAGAAAGGAGATCCTTCCTCAGAGGAATACGCCAAGGAGGGGCTGTCGTGAGGAGCATCAGTTCTGGGAACCAAGTCCGATTGGGCCAGTATGGCGCTACTAAGAGGACTTGCTCCTCGTCCTCCCTGACCTTGCACAGTGTCTGTGCGAGAAGGCTCACTGGGGGAAACGCATACTTGCGTAGACCCTGAGGCCAGCTGTGTGCCAGCGCATCCGTGCCAAGGGTCCCCTCGGACAACGAAGTAGAACAGCTGGCAGTGGGACGTGTCCAGAGAGGCAAACAGGTCTACCTGAGCATCCCCAAAGCGTTTCCAAATCAGCTGGACTGTCTCGGGGTGGAATCGCCATTCTCCCGGAAGGGCGGGCCAACGTGAGAGCTCGTCGGCTGCTTGATTGAGCCCGCCTAGGATGTGAACGGCGCGAAGCGACCTCAGATGCTTCTGACTCCAAAGGAGGAGATGGCGGGCGAGTTGCGACATGCGACGGGAGCGTAGACCGCCCCTATGGCAGAGGCATCTGTTGAGACAACAACATGCCTGGACACTTGCACTAGGGGAACTCCCGCCTGAAAAAAGGCAAGGTCCGACCACGGGCTGAAAGTCTGGCTGCAGGACGGGGTGACTGAGACCCGGTGAGTGCCGCGTTGCCATGCCCATCTCGGGACTTGGTCGTGGAGCCAACGCTGAAGCGGTCTCATATGAGGCAATCCGAGCGACGTGACCATGGCAGCGGATGCCATATGCCCCAGAGGAGATGGCGGGCGAGTTGTGACATGCGACAGGAGCGTAGACTGCCTTGGTGGTTGATGTACACCTGATGCAGAGACATCTGTTGAGACAACAACATGCCTGGACACTTGCACTAGGGGAACTCCCGCCTGAAAAAAGGCAAGGTCCGACCACGGGCTGAAAGTCTGGCTGCAGGACGGGGTGACTGAGACCCGGTGAGTGCCGCGTTGCCATGCCCATCTCGGGACTTGGTCGTGGAGCCAACGCTGAAGCGGTCTCATATGAGGCAATCCGAGCGACGTGACCATGGCAGCGGATGCCATATGCCCCAGGAGCCTCTGAAACTGTTTTAGTGGGACCGCCCTCCTGCGCTGAAATGACTCCAGGCGGTTCAGCATCGACTGGGCAAGTTCTACTGAGAGGCGTCCTGTTAGATTGACCGAATCCAACTCCATACCGAGAAAAGAGATCCTCTGCACGGGGGAGAGTTTGATCTTTTCCCAGTTGACCCGAAGCCCCCCTGCTGAGGTGACTGTACCACGTCCCTGTGTTCACACAACTGCGCTCGAGACTGAGCCAGTATGAGCCAGTGCGAATGCCTCTTTCCCTCAACGGAACGAGGGCTGCCTCCACGACTTTGGTGAAGACGCGAGGCGACAGGGACAGCCCGAAGTGGAGGACCTTGTACTGATATGCTCGCCCCTCGAACGCGAAGCGGAGAAACGGCCTGTGTCGAGGGAGGAGCTAGACATGAAAGTACGCGTCCCTCAGGTCGATTGCTGCAAACCAATCGTGTGGACGGATGCATTGAAAAATGCGTTTCTGAATCAATATCCTGAACGGGAGCCTATGGAGGGCCCAGTTCAGAACGCGCCGAAGCGGAGAAACGGCCTGTGTCGAGGGAGGATCTAGACATGAAAGTACGCGTCCCTCAGGTCAATTGCTGCAAACCAATCGTGTGGACGGATGCATTGAAAAATGCGTTTCTGAATCAATATCCTGAACGGGAGCCTATGGAGGGCCCAGTTCAGAACGCGCAGGTCCAGGATTGGCCGTAAACCACCGCCTTTCTTGGGTACAGTGAAGTAAGGGCTATTGTGACGAGGGGGCGGGGCCGGGAGCCGTGGGAACGGAGCGAGGCCGGTGGAGTAAATGCTAATGCACGACACCTGCACCACTCACCGGTCTCGAGTCTCACGGAGGATAAAAGGAGGAGGGACGACAGTGTTGGACGAGAGAGGACCAGGCCTGGACTTTATTTTGTGTTTTGT